GTTAGTTTTAAAATGTAATCAGTTTATTTTGTTACACAATTAAGCTTAAGTACATGTTATCACCAATGAATTAAAGGAGGTCACTATGAAATTATAAAATTATCATCATATGTAACGTAAGCGTAGTTTAAATAAATATAAAGCATATTAAAGGATAGAAAGCACACCTTCTACAAATTTGCAGTTTTTCCTAATTTCGTGCATTTCACGAACCAAATCATTCAAAGTACAGGTCTAATGTTACAGTTACAAAGGCATATACTGCTTACAGGATTAATTACATTTTATAGGGTTTTACTATTCAAATTGGCATTAGCAGTCGATTGGAAGAGATAGACAGATATCGATTACTGAATGTAGCGCAGGTCGTGAGCTCACGGTTGCCAGTGGCAGAATGAGAGAATGAGTGGTCTTGTGAGGACTCGAAGGAACACTTATGCATTAAGAGAAGGCACACGACACGTGGATCGTATTTAAACATATTTATGATTGATACGGAGTTATAAATAATCATTACGTGCATTTACATAGGGGGAGTTTGTTAAATGCGATGTAACTTTATTTCGCGTACGTATTGAAGTAACAAAAATGTGCGATACGAGATTTAAGTTGAACTCTCCACATTTAATATCAAAAATAAGTGTAAAGGTTGATTATTAGCGTATATACGGCGAGATACGTCTCGAAACTATAAAAAGATGTTATTTGATTTAATCTGGTTGGTAGAAGGATCTTCCTTCTAGAAGAAGTAAACATGTTATACAATTTAACAAGTTCTTCTTAGCAGTTTTGCATAGTTTAATCCATTTTCAAAATATTAATGCGATTTGTAGTTACGTCTACTTCAATTTGTATGTTGATAGGATTAATATGTGCGAGCGTGCGCTTATTCGTATGTATTTGAACTGAATGTCAAACCGGGCAATAATATTATAATATCGTAATATAAAAGCTTTGCAGGAAGTGTTGTGGAATTACATGCTACAATTCTTACTAATGTGTGAAAATTCATACTAAAACTAGAATTATTTATAAAACGTACACATATCGGTTATTGACGTATTGATTATTTACTTAATTTGGAATTAGTTCGGACATTTCTTCGGGAATAAGCATTCTGTTGGTATTCAGTTTAGTGTCATATCCATTATTGTGGATTTTTAAGAAAATACTTTAGTTGTCCAAATAGTGCCTCCAAAATGTTATTTGTATCTTAACGTATTATTTTTTTAAACATTTAATATTTTAGCTTACTTTCAGTAATCTTCACTTAAGTGATAAATGTGACTTTTCAAATTTTACAACTTCCTTCAAAACTCATCTATTACTTAATTTATATTTATATGATTTTGTGCCATAAGTTCTTAAAACCCCAACATTTAATTTTTATACATTTGAAAGATAATATATTGTTTAACATTTAAAGTAAATTAGTTACATTAGACTGTGATTTTATGTGATAAGTCAGAAAGTTATAAAGTGATATAATAATAAAACTTGCCAATTCATGAAAGTAAAAGCACCTTTTCTGAGGGGAATATTACGCTGGAGGTACAACAACTTTTAACATGCTAGCTACTTCTCAAATGTTCCCTAAGTTGGTATTTATAGGAGCTGGTCAAAACGTCGTCCGTTTTTTGTTTTTCTTATTTCCACATAAACATACATTTGATACAATTACGTCACTCTCATTATGACATTCAGCGAATAATACATTCAGGAAATCATTAGCGAATTAAGCTGTGCGAAGGCAAGTTTTATACAAACGTGCAAACATTTATAAAACATTATTTTACATTTATTTTAAATTACTAAGCGTTTCTTTATAAAATAGTGGGCCATTAAATTCGCTTGTTGCCAGAGTTTTCTATCTATCTTTTCTTTCTGCGGCGTGTTAACACGATACTAACGGCACTACGTGGAGACAGTGTTTAGCGTACGATCACAGGAATAGAAGAGAGATAATGTAGTTTGTTCCCATCAGAATTTATCACCGTATAATGTGTATAAAATATAAATTGCCGTCATTTTAATTGAGTTTGCCCGTGACTTGCACTGTGTACTAACAGGACGTCACGCTTCGCTGTTTAAATGAATAGAGTATTATATGTCCTCGCACTTATACGTATGTAGCGTGATTGAATTTATATATAATTATATCAGTTCACTAATAATTATTACAGATATATAAATTTTGTTTTGATTAAGTCCAAGCAACGCTCTTTACTTGTTGCTTTGAAATAAAATAATTTCATGAGTTGGGTTTAAATTGAAATAGAAAATTTCGGACAAGATTTTGTTTTGAGGCTTGCAAGTCTAATTTTCTAAAATTTACTCTTTAAGCACATCTCTTGAGAGAGAAGTACACCAATAAATACCCACTACTCTTTGTGTTTGTGTTCAGAACCCTGTTGTACAATGAAACGAACAGTTTCAAAAACCTATTGTTTGTTAACGTAATGGAGGCTAAGAGCTCGCTCTGCAGTATATGCTGCCTTTTATGTGCACATCAGTCGAGTTTACTGATACAGAACTCGTAATGTTGAAAGGTTTTCGAACGATGATTTGTGGCAGAAATTCGGTAGGCTAAAATGTAATGTGTGGAAAATGATCTTATGTGGTATTTAGACAATGATATATTGCTTACATAAATCCTCAATATGAGGAAATGTAATTTCATAGTTTATTAATTATATTAAGTGAGTGTGTTATATTAATAGCATCGTATTCTTAAAAGCAAACAATAAAAAATTGTGTACTCATTATTGATTAAAATAGGTTTGTAATATTTAGGCTAACTTTATTTTAACTAAAATAATCATGCTTTTATCTTGCAACATTACAGATTTATGCTAAACATATATAATGAAATGTAGTTCGTGTTAGGAATCTTCAGCCCTAACTTGTCTTTGTGCATAATCAAGCATGAAAAACATTAAACATTAATACTTTCAAGTCAAAATAAGCATAATGCAACTCCACATAATATCTCCAGCATGTAATTAGACGTAGGTTTAAAAGATATTCTCATTTAAATTCCCAGTCTCGACTTACTTGAGTTACTCATGTCTGCAGTGATGTCAGTAGATGGAACTACAGACTGCCAGGAACTTGTCTCCTTGCAATTCATTCATGTCCTTGTGTTTGTTCATTTTCGCATTTGTTCTTTGTGCCTTCACAAATTACACAGAGTGTATATGAGCAATCAGATATTTTCTTAATTACAATTAAGACATTAAAAAATTGTAAATTTCAGGTTTTGGTCCCGTCTTCGTGATCACTTGTTTATTAATTCACACACAAAGGCATAGGGTCATGTTCTGACCACGAAATATTTAACATCCGTTCACAAATTTGCCGCCGAGCACAACACAGATTAACATAATAAACACACACATTGCATCGTTCTTGAGAATAGAACGCGATATGTTAAAACGGAAATTGTAACTTGCAAAGATGTGTTGCTTCACAAAGCTATTTTGACTTCCAGATTAATTGTTAGTATTGAATACGCACTTAACTTCGTAAATCCATGAGCGGTGACAGTCATTGAACTGCAGTGTTGCTACATTCCCTTTGGAACGTGATCAACAAGAAATAAAATAAACCTCAAATTTTACAAATAAAATAAAGGAAAACCAATTTTAATAGTCATGAATTTAACCGTAATAACTGACCGGCTGTACTAATCATCGGTATTATTTTAAATTATGTATTTTTCCGACATTTCGTAAATAATGTTGGGTATGTGTTTGTGAAGACATAAATTTGTTGTTACATTACACTTCCATGCAGAATAAATAACTCAACGTTTAGCGGTCATTAAATACATTGATTTAACTGGGTACCTGGAGAATTCCATGATCATTATAAGGTTACTATTAATGTGAGCATCTTAATTAGTATTCGCACAACCCCTTCTAAATAGGGAATGCTTAAAAACTCAATTGCTTCATTCACATAAGAAAAACACATCATTATAGCTATTATTATTGTGTTTGAAAATTTTTAGAAAAATAAGAGTCAGGTAGTCATATACTTGCCTGCAGTGTTAATTTTTGACAGGGCCTGCAAGTTTTATGCTCCTTTTTAATATATGTTGATCAGTTAAACTATAAGAATTACTTTCTCTTTGGCGTTATAATACTGTGAAGTTCACAGTACCATTTACATTTCAGAAAGTTTAATACTGGTTTACTTTTGTGTTGTAAAAATGACAGCCATAGTAGCATACCCGCCTTTAGGTAGGCAGATCCATTCAGAATATCCACTATTTGTAGCCATAGGCAAACAAGATAGATATTTCTGTACTCAAGAGAATTTTTGATAATGAAGATACATATTAAAATGAATATTCTATCGGCCATGAACAGAACTTATACCAGCTTTAATTTCTGTACTTACATTATTAAATTTTATGTTAATTTCTGTTAATATTTAATCCTCCATTCGAAGCTCAAAGGGACTGTGCCAGCTTTGAAGTCTGATGAAAAGCAATCACACGCTCTCATTTTTGTATTATATTGAACTTAAATTACAACCGGCAGAGATGCTTATATAATTTCAGCAACTGTTGGCACTAACTGTAAACAGACGCTGTTGCCGATTATTGGGCAACTCTGACAGAAATTATTGGCACGCGTTTGACTGTTCCGTGATGAAGGAACTTCCCGTTTGCTGCAATGGGAACACGATTGACAACAAATTTTAGTGGTTATTTGTTCAAATTCACGTTTAGCGTTGTAACATTTAAAGCGGGTGTAATTGCACTTGTAGGAATGCTGAAAATCTCCAGAAGGAAGGGATAGGTGACGGTCATAGCTGCCACGTATAGAATACGACTGATAACAGATATAATTTGCGCTTTGAGGAGCCGATGACGATCTTTGTGTTGAAAATACACTGTTGTCACAGAATGAGCTCGTGTGACAAAAGAGTTGATTGGCAGTCTGAGACTTCTGCCGGCCTGCGTCAGATGTGTGTGTGTTTTTACAGCACACTGGACCATGTTGACACCAACGTCGCGCTGTGTTCGGTGAGTTCTGTTGCAGCATCATCCCAGGATATCCTCTACTGCCACAGCAATTACAGAAGTTGGCTACGACGCTGCCTGACACATCACGTGTGGATCTGTTGTTGCTTATGAAGGCGCTGCGGCTACGGCGAAGTGGCCTGGGCTGGATGGTCACAACGCGTCCGGTCTGTCAGCCGGAGTGCCTCCAATTCTAGGCAATTGTGACCAGGTGTTCTGGTTCGGGTGACCAGCAGTTGTCCGACAACCAGCAGCCTATGACGACGGTCACGAATCCTATCAGGAGCGCCAGAACGATGTACGGTTCGGCGTTACCTGCACAGATCCGAACATTGTCACGTCTTATTCGGCTAAAAGAAAGCGTGTTAAAACGCGCATGAGATTTTTGGATTTGTTTCTGCACCCATTTTAAGTTGATTCTCTTATTGTACTTATAGTTCTCCTTACTCTCCTAAATATTAAAGCGTTTGAGACAGAACTTAGAACTCGAAAATGAATAATATTTTGCCACAACATGGCCTGTTTAGAATTTTAGTTTCTCACGGCGTTCAGTATGAAGATGGCTGTCTTCTGGTTTGTAGCGCCGTGTAGTCTCGTAGAAATGTATTGATATTTAAGAGGTGCTTACTGCTTTCATCATCAGGGCCCCGATAATGTCGGCAGTAAGCACTTCTGAAACGTCGATAAACGTCTACCACTTGTAAGAAAACGCCTGAATAAAACAATTATATTTTCATTGTCTCCATTTAAGACCACGCTCGAAATCTTCACTACCCTGGGAACCTCAAATCCCGTTTCCATTCATATTAATTTATTTATTTAAATTAAAATAGTTCCCCTGTATGATGCAGGGTCATCGTGTTAATAATATCTGTATAACACTCTGGCCGGATTGATTTGTAGTGGCAGTTTCCGGCTCGTGGATATTAGTTTCTGTCCATCTGTATAATGTATTTGCTGATTGTAGTATCTGTTCTGTCAACATCAATTATTCATGTGAAATAAATGAACACTAAGACCATTGAGAGGTGAAAAGAGTGCACATTTTTACACTGGACGCATTCCTTCCGCTGTCGTAACTAAACTGCGCAGAGAGGAGAATCTCATTCGTTTCTGATACTCATTTTCGATCTCCATCTTTTCTTTTCACTCGGATAGAATTGACCGTAGTCTGCAGTTTATTCCGCCATTTTCACTGCATGCATTATTTAGCGACATGTCCATTACGGTCTGATACAGACCCGGCACAGTGTTTTGCTTGTGTGTTATCAGGCCTGCATACTAGATTTTCTGGGACTCGCAGTTGAAAGGGAGGGGGGTGTGCGGAGATCACCAAACGTGGAATTGCATTGTTTATGACCTCAATGTTACGTCTTTTCTGCTTGGTGACTGATAGTCCTGTGTGGTTTATTGATGTTCTAGATCAACGGTACTGTTCGCTTCAAAAGAAAGTGATCATATGTCAAATGTGATGTATCATATCAGTTTCCATATCAACTATAATGAAGTAAAAAGCGTCCAGTGACATCACAAGCATATTCCAGCCTCGTTTATAAATGACATACTTAATTAATGAACTGTTCTCTTGGAAAATTTATATCTGATGATTGTGTTTTGTGAAACGGAAGGACATAAAGTAGCTCTGAAAATGGATGTTAATTATTTGTTCAGAATTCTTTTCATATTTGTTATTGCGCGTAATTATTTAGTTGTCAGTACTTCTTCTTCGTATTCAACAATTCTTGGGGTCGAATCTCAGCCCTGAGTCTTTCTGTCGTGACAAAGTATTTTGGTAGTTTTCCTGTGTCATTCCAGTCAAATTAATTACGTTATTACCAGTCTTCTATGCGAAGATGTAGGGTAATGACACTTGCAACCTACAACTTAACACGTAACAAAATGGCTGTTTCTTCTTACCCAGTGGTGTTCTGCTCTTCCACAGGCGGTTAATGGGATAGGGGTCGCCTCTTCCTTTGCCCTTCTTAATGTTGCCACCACCTGGGCCTGGGGTACTAGGTGACCCCGCCTGGGGCTGTCCGTGTTGGCCTTGTGGGGCCGGAGATCCACAGACTGCAATTGTGAGAACCACAAACACAGAGAGAAAATAATTTTGGGTATGAGCATCATGTTACTCCGACATCGTAAGGAAAAAGCGTGGGTTGGGATTGTTTGAGAAACGGTGTTAAAGGGAATTGCTGATTATGACGTGAGAGAGAGGATGTAGCAGGATGCTTGAGAAAATTGCATGAGGAGCTTCATAATTTATATTACTGTTAAATATTATTGCGGTTATAAAATCAATAAGGATGACAGCGGGGCATGTAGCACGATATATTTATTCAAATATTTCCAAATTATCTCTAACAAATTGCATCTGATGAACTTAATGAATGAGAAATTTTTTATTCAATTTACTCTTCACCATCGTCAAGAAGTTTTAGATTTGATGAATGCTTTTATTTATCTGGTAGAATCTATATCAAAGAGTGACAGATATAGCACATCTGCCTTACAGGACTGTCAGTCACAGAGCGACGGGTAGGATGTTTCTTATATGCAGCCTTACACAGTAGGCTGTACCGTAATACACTACGGTTCTCAGGTTACGCGTCCTTACAGTCGACGTCGCCTGGGAAGTGCTGTCTGCTAGTGCAAGTGACGGCACTTGTCTGCCTCCGCCTGAAGCCTCCTCCTTCCTGCCTGTCACTAATAGCTCCTGCAGAGTTTCTTTGATGACGTTTTCTGTGCTCCCTAAGGAAAGTCATCAAGTTGTCCCGGGATTCCCCACACCTTACTTTGGCGGCACGCGGACTCACCTTTCAAGAGTTGCTATGGACATGTACTGTTGAGGTATAATACTTGATTTGAATCTCGGCTGATGTGCTGTGGTTTTTCCCTAATCTCTCCGAGAAAATGTTGGAATATTAATACATTAGAGCAGGTAACTACTTCCATAAGTCCTTACTAGCCATATCGTGTTCGATATTAAGTAACCCTATCAGTTGAAACAGCAGCAGTAAATAACAATGGAAAGGCGTGCTCTTTGGAGTCCAATCCGACAAAGGCATGACCAAGGGGGTGGGAAATCAGGGGTAGCAAGCGGTTATGACGTAGTTGAGCGAACAGAAATTGTCTGGAGTGAGTGAGGAAGACGATGAAAACTTCAGTTAAGGTAGCCAATGTAAGGGCATTGATTTGAACTCGGTACCTCCAGAATACGACGCAGGAGTGTCAACCCTCTCAGCCGCGATATTTGATCATTCTGTGCCCAGTAACAAATCATCGCTCAGTTTAATAAGGTTTGGTGCTATTGTATAATAACGGCGTTCAGAACGTTATGTGGGTCCTACTGGCAATTCAGACTTGTTTCAATTATTAGAGACTGGCGTTTTTTCTCTCGCTGAAGAAAATAAAACTATGTAAAGGAATGGTCGGGTAATAAAGGTGAATAAGACGACCTTCTATGTAATGACAGCTTTGCTAAAACCCACCTCGTTCGTACACTGTTTCATACGAAGAAAGGGAACAGAACATAATTACTTTTTCGTCACGGTGTCATCTGTTTGTCTGTGTGCATGTTGATTGCTATGGAAAATGTTCTTTTTATGGGCGACAACATACTTCTTGTCGTGTTGAAATTAAAAGAGAAGGGCGACTATAAAACAACGTGTTCGCCCTTACTAGACGCGTTCGGGAGAAGGAATTATAAAAATTCCAAGACCCATATTTTTTACATATTCGTAACAGGAAATACGAATATATGGCTAATAAGAAAGAGGGTAGAAGTGGCTGTAAATACAGATGATTCACTCAAAATGTGCATCGGTCTCTAGTGACCGCATCCTTTTATATCATATTAAATTTCATAATTTATAATCCCACCATTCGACGTTTGCAGTTAAAAAGTTTCATTAAACACCCCAGAAAACTACCAACAGTTTTTTGCTGTTGATACATTTTCACCACTCCCATTAACACTTGATCACAAGAGAAGACTTGAACATGAGAGAAATGTAGAAGTGGCGGAGAATGTGAGAAACGCTGTAATTTGTTTTAAGCCCTATTTTAGTAGATAAATATCCTTAAACCACATGTAGATTGATTATGGTATTAAACAGGGGATACGTATTTGTAGGACGTGGCGTAATTTCCACGTATAAGCTTTTTCGCCAACAGGATAACTTATAGTAGCAACGAACTTAAATACATCTGTGAACTCTACTCTGTAACAATTGTAAATCCCTGGAGTACCAACTCGTCGGCTGTGTTTCGCCCATCGCACTCTTGCGACTCGATCTTTATGACGTGTACAATTACAAACGAAAGAGGAATATTCGATAAGTACGTTGAATGTTAGTGGCAAGGAACAGAAACTGTTCCCGCTAAGTAAGTGTATTAAATCACTCTGCTCCAGGTTTCACATCGTGTGCTAATTTAATTTTCCTCGTTGTCTAGACCAGTGGTATTCAACCTGGGGTACGCGAAGACATCTTAGGGGGTACGTGAAATTTAAACAAATATATATTTTAGTTTATGATAAATACTGAATAATCAGTAATGCAATTGATTTAATTTATTTTAGATGTAGATTATATACTATGTATAACTTGAATTATACACCAATAACTTTGGGGGTACAAAGTTGAAGAGAAATTATATCTGGGGGTACGCGAACAAAAAAGGTTGAATACCACTGGTCTAGACTGCACAAAATCCATAAGATGTTTCTTGCTGAGGATTTATGAACACGTAACAATAATTACAGGATTCCAGATAGTCCATAGGTACAATATTTACTATAGAGATGTTTTCCCAACACTAGTCGATTTTAGTTAGGATTTCTGTGTGCATTGTTTTAATTAAAACATAAACTAGTAAAGGTATTAGTTAGATTCCCCAGAGTGTGAATATTCCATATTTACTGTTAGTATATCCCAGATCAATAGCATTGGCGATTATTATTATTATATGCAAATGAATTGAATTTCTCACCTAGACTTATATGCACGTAAATCTACAAACGAACAGCTCTGTTCATCTGTAGCAATCAGAGAGGCTTCTCACTGTGCACTTTTCTCCAACCCCGGTAATCTTGGATCTAAACATTTTCTTCAGCACCCTGTTTTCAGCCACGTACATTCTGTGTATTCTTCCCTTAATGCAAGAGACCAAGTTTCACACCCATGCAAAATAGAAGTAACTTCATTAAATGCTACCAGGGATTCTTACCCCAGACTAAAGTAACAAGAGGCTGAAACTGGCCTTTCATGCGCTTCTAACGCCAAGATCTAGCTTACGTGGATCTTTATATTATAGCTCCTGCACACGTTTGTGACGCGGGGTTTAGGCATAGGGCAACATTTACGTTTCTGTGTGAGTTTCAGATTTCAGAGCTTCAAGTCGTTCTAACACAGGCATGCACGTTTTCGTAAACATTTGTGCGTGTGTTTGTATATCACTTTAAATCTATTAACACATAATCTGCAGTTTCATATTGAAAGTTGTCTGAATGTTTAAATATATATAATGAGATTTTAAACGAACCATTAATTATTAGAAGGATGATCAAGCAGGCTGTGAACAGCCGCTTCATGACGTCACCAGCCGACAAACCAATCAAAAGACGTACTGTTTAAGTTTCGTAGTGTATCTACACCAGCGCTACCTGGAGGCCATCTTGGAATTCGTAATGTCCTCGACAGTCTGGGAAGATGGTCCTGAAAAGCAACATTTGTTTTTAATTTAAATACGGGACTGAACACAAACACTTCAGTGTTTGTCACACAATTAAAATCACTCTTTAGGAATGTAATTATTTTATTGTTATTATTTTAGAAGATGTGTATTTCATAAAAAACATCTGTGTATTCGTTTATTGTATAATTTTATACTTTTTATTTTAAAGATTCATGTTCATATTGTCGGCTGAATTCATAATTTAATTATTGAAAAATTAATTGTGAAGTTAAATGTGTTTAAAATTTACTCACTAGATGGCAGGTGATGGCATTCTGGAGAATTGGATTTATCTCACAGACAGCTGATGTAGATGGCATATTGATTGAGTTGAATCATTGGAGAAGCGAGTGAAAAACCGCGATGAATAGTCCAAAAACTTATATATTTTAAAATCACAGTCTTTTGGTTAGATTCTTTACTGTAGTGTTCGATTATTAATGTATTCATATTTTAAATGCTTTAAAGTCTTAAGGCCCATCACCCGTACCTGAAAAGTAACAGAAAAGATTGAGTTTTAATTCGGTATAGAATTTCTTACCGAATATTTGTCATTAAGCATGTTTAATAATAAACATTTGTTTTAAACATATACGATCTTCTGTCTAAATTTAATAAATGATCGAAATATTAAATGTACGATTGAACGCGAAGTAAAGCAGACGTCCGATGTAACGAAGTAATACATATAGACACTCCAGAGGGGAACTGTTAGAATTTCTTCACATAACTTCGGAATTTTTATTAAATATTTTTAAATGCATTAATATTCGAGGCTCATTCTGGCGTGGGTTTTTTGCTTCCAAAACCAAAGTTTCAGACATCACAGCGTCCAAACAAGTGGTTGTAATTAAGCAATATATTGAAGAAACGGGATCGATTTCAAAATATGTTTTCACTTAATAAAATTGAAATGGCCCTAAATATATATTAGGACCATTTCAATGCTGACACTCTGTCTCACTAATATCTGCTTTTATTCGTACTCATCGCCCTGATGATGGAGGCAGAAAGTACATCTGAAACCTTGGTAAACTTCTACCAGACTACTCGGCGCAACAATCCAGAAGACAGCCATCTTATGCCACGAATATCTGGTAAGGGATTTGTGTTATTCCGTGCAAATTATAGGCGGTGATTGGCAAACAGTACAGGTCTCTTGCTTATTCTCACAGTTAATGCTCAGCTACACTCGCGTGACATTTGTAACACAAACTTCTCGCCCAGTAAATGAAACAACCCAGGAAACTTTCTGGCATTCTGAATCCAGTTTAATACTGAGTATGGCAGAATGTACGTATGACCTGCATCCGCTTCAGCGGGACTGAACACTAGCTTTTCCTGTGAATAATAAAAACTAATAATTGCTTATTTAAACTTAATTTCTATAAAAGCACAATATTGGAAATCCCTCGGTGCTGTTGGGCAAAGGTATGTTCTGTTATGGTTGCGTCTGGCGTTTTTGTGCTCGTTCTACGTTTCAATTCTGAGAGGCACACTTAAAAACTAATAATTGCTAACAGTGCATTGTTTCGCATTATAATGCCATACTACGTACTGTATTCAGTCAGTATGATACGTTAGAGTCTGAATTTATTTCCTCTACCTCGTGTGTTTGTGATATCAGTTCGTGTGTTTATGGCATATGCAAACAAACTTTAACACACATTTGGATACAATATTTATTTGTTTATTTGCATTACATACTTGCAGAACCAAAATGAAACTAAATGCTTCTACAGTTTTTATGGAAGGAAATTGCTAAAAGCAAATAATATGGGAACTCCAAATTGGAACAGTTTTCACAGTGGTAAAATATTTCTGTGTATCTTGTTTAGTTGTAAAATATTATTTGTATAATTACAGTTCATAAACAGGTCGACTTTCTTTCGTACGTTAACATATATATATATATATATATATATATATTTAAGTGGACAGTTGAAGTTGTAATGAGAAAAGGTGAAATATCAGATATAAGTTAAAAGTTACTGTTTTATAATAATAACAAATTGTTGTTGTGTGACAGAATGTTATACGAAGATGGCTGTCTTATGGGTTGTAGCGCCGTGTAGTCTGGTAAAAGTTTACGAAAGTCATCGCCCTGATGACGGAGGCAGAACGTTGGTAAACTTCTACCAGACTACACGGCGCTACAAACCAGAAGACAGCCACCTTTCGACTCACCGCCTCGAAAACCTCAAATCCCACTTAGGATTCTATACGTCAATCTCGTATTCTCTTAGACTATGGATCTCCATAGTTTGGTGAGTCTGAGGCAGAATCTCTATATCATTTATAAAAAACTGTAATTACCAGTGCAGGATTCTTAATGAGCTTTTTATTTCCTTAATCCTCATGACCAAGATGAAGAACTATTACCCATTCCAATTTAAGCATGCTTAAATGATTGATTTATCAATTATAGCTGTTTGGGGAAGGGGCAATTTTTAGACAGACAATTCTTTCCACTTCTGCTATCATTTAAATTAAGAATATTAAAGAACCTAAATTCGGACGGAAGGGATCAAGGTAGACATTCGATGCAAATGAGAGCACAGCCAATTGCCCCAAGGCAATCTTGGTTTTTGCTTAAAAGACACGTGCACACAACAATTACGGCAACAACAACCAGAAGTGCTATGATAGCTATAGTGGCAGCTGACAGCTCATCAGAATCTTCCGCGTCAGACTCGTCGTTGTGATCTCTGTCCTTTGTAGCGCTCACGGTTTTCATTTCATTTCTGTAATTGCAATTCGTGCTCTCAAAGAATATCAACCAGTCTGTTTTATGGTCATTTTCAGAGTTTACTTCACATGTCATATTTTCAAATTTGATTTTTTGCGCCAGGAACGATATATATATTTCTTTTAAGCTACAGTGGCATGGAATAGGATTATTTTCAAGATTTAATTCCATCAGGCTTTTCAGAGAAACAAACATATCTATGTCAATAGAGTGTAAGTTGTTGTAACCAATATTCATTATTTTAAGATTTGTTAACGAATTTAAAGAATCCCTACTAAAGTAAGTTATTTTATTATGCTGCAAATATAGTTCTTTTAAGTTAGTTACGCCATATTTTATGGTGGTTTGCTCTATCCTGGAAATGTTGCAGTAACTGAGGTCAAGGACTTTCAATGAGTTTCCACTGAACATCAAACCATTCTTTAATGACAGAAATCTGTTATTTGCAAGTGACAGTCGTGACAGTTTCGGGGTAAATAAAAATGTTTCAGGGTAGATGAATTTGATATTGTTCCAAGAGATATTAATTTCTCTGACACGATCCTTTCCCATAAAAGCAAGTCGGTCGATACTATCGATAACACTGTTGCTGATATCGATAACCTCGGCCGACCTATTCCACAGGCTGTAGCGCTTTACACTAGAAATTGTGTTGTGGGACACGTTCGTT